TCAGCCTCCAGTCTTTCTGTTTTCAGCCCCGCTCATTAACTGTTTTCATCACACAGAGACTCCTTGCATGTATTAAGTGCTTCATAAATGTCCTCTATGAATAAATGAATGCATAAATGAATGAGTGAATAAGCCTACTTGCTGAACCAAACCTCTCTTCTTTTACCAGAAGGCATCAGTCCTTGTTAACTGCTTTTATTTTTGTCCTTCCTCAGTTGGAATTAATGACCTCTGGAAAGACGCCTTTTATGTAACCAGGACAACAGGGCAAAGATCTTCTGAAACCCATTCAGCACCCCTAGTGGTCAGCAAGCTGAGTCTACGATGGGCACTCATGGAGGGCCAAATGGTCCAGCTAAAGGAGACCACCCCCAAAATTGGCCGTGGGGAGCTGCGAAGATTCCTCTCTAGGATAAAATTTGTTGATTCTCCTTACCAGGTGAACAGCTTCAGAAAAATAATGTAGTTACTTCTTGAAGGTTTTGGACAAATGCCAACTCTAGCTTTGCTCTTTAGACAGTAGGGAGAATGGTAGCTTCCTTGAATTGCTAGTTTTAGACCACTTATTTCAGACCAGTACTATTTCCCAAGGGTGCTTTATGCTCATGGTCCATGGTTATTTTCTGCTAGAAATGGTTCTGTCTCCGTTAGGGGGCATTTGGAGATTGGAATCCTATATTTTATTGTCCGAGTGGTTGAGGGAATGGTTGCTGCTGGTGTTTCCTGGGTAGAGGCTGGTGGTGCTAACATTATGCAGGACTGTGACAGGTCCATATAACGAATCACTGTAGTACTCAAAAGGCTGATAGTTCTCTAACACTCACTGTGCTCTAGTTCAAACAAAGTTCAAGAGTTTATAATAGAGATTAAGTAAGTCTCTGGACCTTTCTGGAGAAACACACTGTTGGGGCAAGACAAAACGGGAAAATACTTACAGTATTCAGACCTTTAGATTTCTCCCATTTCTTTTTCTTTGAAAATCTCTACTATGGATAAGATTACTGAAAAAGTCACTGATACCTCTACCTTTTTTCCCCCTAGGTCTAGTCTGATGGAATATTATTTTTAAAGAAATGAATAGAATGAATACTGTGTCTTGTCAGTGTAACATCAGTTCTTTGGTGAAAAGGAAGACTTCTTCAAACTCATTTTGACACCTCCACGTGATTGTTGCAAAGCACTTTGGAAGGCATATTAGAATTCTTTGATAACAGCATGATCTGTTTGGCTGGGGTATCTCACCTACCTTTTCTATTCCTACATTAACCCCCCTTGAGGCCGTCTGAGAAGCCCTGGTGGCACAGTGGTTAAGTGCTTGGCCAACCGAAAGGTTCGTGGTTTGAATTCACCAGTGGCTCTGTGGAAGAAAGATGTGGCAGTCTGCTTCCACAAAGATTATGGCCTTGGAAACCCTATGGGGCAGTCCTACTCTGTTATTTAGGGTCACTATGAGTCAGAATCAACTCAATGGCAGTGGGTTTGGGGTTTTATTTTAGGAACTCTATGTGGGTAGTTTGGAAATGTGAATTTTATAAGTGTTTTATTTTTGTATGTCTAATTTATAAGCTATTACTGGGAAATTCCAGTGAAGTTCTGTAATAGAAAATGTTTTGTGTTATATTATGTGTGTATTAATGTTGTGGTGAAGTCTTTTCCAGATACATCCTAAGCTCCAGGGATCCAGTTTCTTGCGTTTATTATGAAGTACATCTGGTTTGTTGGATCTTCCAGATGACCTACCTCTGATATTGAGGGTCACTCGTCATTTTGCTCCTTATTCTCTCCCCACCTGTACCTTGGCCACTTCCCAATCATAAGCAGCATCAAGAACTCGGTAGTGGAAGACCGAGTAAGCCACACCAACATTTGTATCTCTTCCTTAAGTATCCTGTTTCCTCAGGCTATCAATCTATCTATATTTAGTGGCCATAGAATAGTTTCCTATGACAAGGGGAGCAAGATTAATAGTTTAAATGACCCATCTCTGACCAAGTTCATATGTCATTTTATATGTGGTTTTGATTGTTCTGACAGGTATGATGTCTTTACTGTGGTAACTTTAGGACTGTAGATGTGTCTGCTAGAATGTGTATGTGTTTCTTTAACTTAGATGAAAACTGGATGTCAGGGACAACTGAGGCTGACATCCTTATCTCTGCTTTAGTCTGACTCCTCTCTTAGCATCCTTTTCTCTAGGGCTTCTTCCTTACCTCCTGTCCTTTGCTTTCTTTTTCATTCAGGGATATTTTGGCTTTGTTTGCATGAGAGTGAAGCTGTCTCTGGAATTTGACCCTGGCTACTTGAGTCCAGTATGCAAGCATCCTGCCCTGCACATCTTCCTTGTAGAGCCTTGAATGATTATATTTTGAGAAAATTCCTGTATAAATATTATAACTTGTAAATAGCTCAGTTCCTAGAATTATCTCCCATGCTTACTCCCCCCCTCTATCTCTGTATAAATAAATTTATTACTTCTATTAAATTCTCTTCTAAACTTCTAGGTCATTACTTATATAGCAGAAAATCTCATGATAACCAGGGGAGAACTGCTTTTCTTCTTATATAGTTTTGAGATAGACTGAGATACTTGGGTCTGCATCCTTTTAACTTATGTTAATAAAGAAATTCCTGAGAAAAATTTAGAAACAGTCAGATTTGAAAGGATAGATGTTAATTGCCCACTAGATATTAAGTAAGATATAGCAGGAGGTTGGTAAATAGATTCATTCTGGCCTGTAATTGACCTTACTAAATTTCTGGGCACCCCTGCTTTAAATTTTGTTTCACCTCTTTGGAAGACTTGTACTTGTGTCAATCTGGCTTATTGTAGACTTTAGCATTTAGAAGATTACAGCAAAGTATAGGAATGACCGATCCCAGGCTCATTTCTAAGGTTTGAATCTACTTGGATAGGAATTTCCTAGGATTTTGAGTCTATTGTAGAATTCTAAAGACTAATTATATCCAACTGGACATCCAAAATTTCGGTTATTGTCTTCAGCCTGGTTTGAGCCATCGAGGCCCAAACCTAGTTCTCTACCATATCCAAACTTTCTGGGAAGTCAGTCTCTCTAGGCAGGAGTAAAAAGCAAAGTTGTTTACTGAGAACCGGGTTCAGAGGAATTGTTTGTGGCAGAAGACTGTTGTGTTCATGCTGGGTGAGTCCCAGAAAATACATAAAAGGAAGTAAGTAAACTGCAATGTCACTGTATTTTCTACGGTATATTGACAAACTAACATCACAGATTGTTTTGATGGTGATAAGTTTGAATCTCCTCTCATTGAAGACAGTTGTCAGCTCTAGATTTTTCCTCCCTTTTAGTAGCCAGTACAGAAGCTGTGTGTGGTGACCAAAGATTGAGGAAGCTTCATCTGACCAGTGTGGGTGCTTGGCTTATCAAATATGCCCTTCTTCATGCCAGTGGCCACATATCCAAGATAGAAATGCTCCTCTCTTTCCCCGCTCCCAACATGAGGTTGTCAGGAAAGCCCATATAGCCACTATTTAGAAATAGTAATGATCTGTACAAACAGGGGTCTTACTCTTCTCCCAACCGCTCTCTTTTTCTCTCACTTACCAAGACCTTCCCCCTCTATCCCCTTCTCCAAACGATATCCTCACCACTCCCAAATGGTTTTTATTTACCCATCTGTTGTGGTATGGTGACACCAACCCTCTTGAATGTGAACTGCTGTCCTTATTGACCATATTAAGGAAAAGTCAGCTGGTGTATTGTCAGGAAGCACTATCTAAAATGTGAAGTGTTAGAGATTAAATACTGTATATAGGAACATACTTGTGTGCTATTCTCATTCTTCTTAGCCATCAAGGGTGAATGGGTGGATGGCACTCTTTATGGAGAAGGGATAGGGAGAAGGTGGGGACCTAGAGAGGAATGTCTTCCCTAGCCCTGTTTTCTGGGGGAGTCTCCAATATGGTTCTCCATCAGAAGTGCCTAGCTGGGCCATTTTTGGAAGTGGGCCAGTCCTTGCATACTCTTGGGCCTTCTCACGTTACACCACTCTCAGAGTGGTTTTTTAGGATATTTCATAAACTGTACTATTGGTTGCCCACCATGTGGATGCAGGACACTAGTGGAGAGTGTCAATGACATCTGTCCTGCCTAGCTCTCAAAGCTTACAGCCGTGCTCTCATCATTGATCGATTACTTCCAGAAAACTTCTAGCACACTGCTAGAAAGTTGAGCCTGAACCCAACTACTGTTAATTTGCCCACCTTTTCTCCTCCAAGTCTCAGACAAATGGTGAGATTTTAAGCCCTTAAGAACAGGGACTATATTTTACTCATTTTTTTCTTTAATCTCTATTGGTTATCCTAGGAACTGGGACATAACCAACAAATCAATAGAAAAGAGAATGCTGAATGCAGAGGCAATAAAGATGAGATATAAATGTTATGGTGTTGAGTAGTGTCTCCTCCAAAATTCATGCCCACTGGAGTTTGGAAATAGAGTCTTTACAGATGTCATTAAGTTAAGGATTAGGGTGGGCCCTAAATCCAATGACTGGTGTCCTTATAACAGGAGAGGACACACAGATAAAGGAAATAAAGTCATGTGAAGATGGAGGCCAAGATTGGAGTGTGATGCTAGCCAGGAAACACCAAGAATGGCTAGGATCCAACAGAAGCTAAGCAGAGGTGAGTAAGGATCCTTCTAGAGAAGCTTCCAAGGGAGCAGGACCTTGCTAACACCTTCATTTCAGACTTCCAGCCTCAAAACAGAAAACACATTTCTGTCCCTGTAAACTATTAAATTTGTGATGAGAGCACAGAAAACGAAAACATGGGGATGGGTGAAATGAGACAGAGCTCGGGAGAAGGGAGCATCTGGGGACCCCACTGGACTTATACATAAAGCTACCCTTATTCTGAGCCTCTCAAAACCATAACTCAAGAGACAGATTTTGGCTTCAGCACATGTTGGTAACAAACATGTAAGGTAGGGCTTAGCCTGAATTCCAAACCCACTTATTTGCACCTAACACTGCACTTCCTCTATAGATGACCCAGCGGAGACCTCTTCTTTCCTCTCCTGGCCCGTCCCGTGCTGAACTCCCTTGTTTTGTAGCTCTGAGTAGAAGTCAACGCCTTCAGAGATGGAGCGGATGGACTGATTTTGGTAGTGGTGGCAGCCGGTCGAAGGCCCCCTGAGGTGGGCTGCAGATGGCAGCTGCTGAAGGAAACACTGGTGGTGATGTGGGAGGCGACTCGGGTTTTCTTTGAAGCTCGTCCGGTGCCTGCGCTTGAACTCCACCAGCACTGTCCTGGTATACGTAGTACTGAAGGTGGTGACAGCAGATGCCGTGCAGCAGGTGAAGGAAACCCAGGCCGTGCTAGGAGCAAATGCACACACAAAGTGTACTGTCAGGATCTTAGTTTACAGGGGTGCAAACAAAACAGGACTTCACCTTTAGTAGACTAGGCCAGTGTGTTTTAGGGAGCTAGAGGCCTGAGGGCGCTGTCTTCCTCTATATTTCAGGTAAAGAACTGAGCTCAAGAAGATGTAATCTGGTCTGCCCAGGTGGTGGTGGTGGTGTGCTATGGAGTCAGATCTGACCCATAGCAACCCTGCACAGGGTTTCCGAGGCCATAAATCTTTATGGGAGCAGAAAGCCTCATTGTTTCCCTGTAGAACGGCTGGTAGTTTTGAACTGCTGACCTTGAAGTTAGCAGCCCGACTTGTAACCAGAGCTCCATTTGGGCTGTCCTAAGGGGTACATTTTGAATGTTTTCTAATAAAAAGTACTCATTCAGTATTAAAGTCAGAAAAGGGGTTTGACAGATTTGTTCCCACTGAATGGGTCTGTCGTGGAATACCATGCTTTCTTAACCAACTCAGGTCTGTGTGTCTATTTTTTTTCACCCTTTAATAGTCTCCAAGATTCCTCAGACCTTCGGTTCAATTGTATCTAGTGGGCACAGCCTAATGCAATAACCACCATCCCTGCCCTAAGACACATAGTGGTGTGCTGTGGAGTCAGTGCTGACCCTGTACAGGGTTTCTGAGGCTATACATTTTTATGGAAGCAGAAAGCCTCATCTTTCTCCCGTGGAACGGTTGGTAGTTTAGAACTGCCGACCTTGAGGTTAGCGGCCCGACTTGTAACCACTACGCTACCAAAGATTTCTTTCACTCAGACGCCAAGAAGAGCTATCCTGCTTCTCCGTCCTTTGTTGTGAATTTAGTAGTCTTAGAGTCCACAGAGATGAGCCTCTGAGAACCACTCAGGAAAAATTTGTTATAGATCTGAAGGTTGCACTAGTGGAATGTGCCTATTGTGAAAACTGTGGCTCTTGGGTTGAGGGAGTTTATAATTGATGGGAGAGAAGCTTGAGATTAAGAGAAACTGGATAAGATAAATTCAAGAAAGAAGAAGAAGAAAAAAGACTCCAGGGAACTATATCAAACACATTCTTAAACACTTGGAAAGCCAAACCCCTAAATCTCCCCATAATTCTGGGAAGCTCAGGACACAGTACATTTTGTGAGGTTAGTGAGGGATTTTTAGGAGGCTAAGTGATGACTCAAGCCAGGCCCCATGCTGGTACTGTGTTCCCATCTGTTGCTTCTGACAAACTACTAAGAAGATTGCTTGGCAGATGGGATGCTTCTGCTGGGGGTTGTGTAGTTTGTGCTCGGGAGTTGTTACACCAAGGTGAGAAATTAGGGGTCTGAAAACACCTAAGATGATGGGATGCCTGCTGAAGTCAATCAAAACTCCAGAAACAAACAGCACATACTAAACATGAGGATATGGGTAGGATTTTATAAAAGACATTCAAGGAAAAAATGCCTGTGTTGTCAAGTCAGTCCTTACTCATAGCATCCCTGTATAGGGTTTCTGAGGCTAGAAATCTTTGCCAGAGCAGAAAGCCTCACCTTTCTCCCAAGGAGTGAGTGGTGGGCTGAACTGCCTATCTTGTTCGCAGCCTAGTGTTTATCCTATAAAGCCACTGTGCTCCCCCCAAATGCCTATATAAGTTTCTATACTGCTTTTTTTTTTTTTTTAAGAAAATATATTGCTTTCTTTAGAATGGAAATTCAAGTATAAATTGGCAACTTTGCAGTGAATAAAAGAATATCCAGATTCCTGTGGGGAGAAATGAGAAGCTTTAGAATAATAGGAAAGATTAGCTTGAATGTGTTTGTTTTGTCAAGGTTGCTGATTCTGGCTTTTGAAGAGAAATCTAAAGTAACTGACCCCTTCATTCTTTAAGAGTTAGGGAATGACTGTGGTCAAAGTTTTGTTTCTAACAGAGTTTTATGGAATAAGAATGGAAGTTTTTATTAAGTGCTGTCAAGTCGGTTCCGACTCAGCGATTCAGAAATTAGAGTGTTTCATTAGAGAAGAAAAGTGAGCCATTTACAAGGATTGAATTAAATCCAATTTCAAGGCTAATTCTCCATTTCCCTGTTCTCCAAGGTCTCAAGTCATCCAGTGTAACTAGAAAGTATAAAGATTTCCCATAACTCATACAAAGTGTTTCATTCCCCATGGCATGCCTACTGGGAAGAAGCAACTGTTAACAGCTGTGTTAGCAGAACCACCAGACAAGGCAGCTTCCTCACCAAACCAACCACAAAAGAACCCTCTCTGCCCCTCTTCAGAAGGTGGGGAAATAATGGTTATGACCTGACAGTCCAGCTCTGTTTGACTGTGACAGACCTCTGAGCTGAGGGATGAAGAGAAGATGGGAAAACACAGAACAAGTATCTAGTGGAGGGGGAAAATCTAATGAAGGTTGAGTTGACTGGGAAAGGACTAGCAAGGTTCAGGAGCTAAATACTTACTAGAAGGCCCAGCCATAATTCCAATCATGTGGCTTCCAGTCCTCTGGACCCAAGTTGGCAGTTGCCTGGAAAATTGGTGAATATATCACGTGGCCCACCATCCCCAAAAGACCTACAGAGGAAACAGAAAGGCAGAGCTCTTAGACAAAGGTGTCCATCACCATCCAGTGGGAGTAGAATCAAAGTCCCGTGCTCCATTGGGTGTGCTTCATTATCCATATACCACACCACACTATCAGGGAGACTAATCAGTGGTGTATCTCCATGAATGCATGTCTTTGCAATTGGTTACCCCAAGCTCCCCAGTGCTTCATACCAAAGGCCATTGCCCCCTTTTACTCATCCCACCCATATCTCATTGTTGGCTTTATTCTTGATCTTATGTATATATCTCTCTAGCCAACCAAAGTGGCCTTGAAAAGCTGTGTATATGTGAAAAAGAAGCCAAACAGCTTGAGAAAACTTGCAAGTATAATGATCCTAAGAGCTCAATTATTTTGTGACGTATGTAACAATGAAATATACAATTTCACATCTGATAATTTAAAATGAAAGATGCCTGTAATGCATATTCTGTTATTTGTACTGCCCTTGGGATCTTCATTCCTCTCCTCAAGATAGAGACTTGAGTGCTTGGAGAGTGGCTGAAGACAGACACCTCTGCCCCCTTGGGAGGCACTTGACAATACAGAGGAAATAGCAAAGGCGCTCAGCTTGAGGTCACAGCCAGGGTTCCCAGTGAACAGCGAGTCCATTAGTAGCAGGCAGAAGCTGGTGAATTGAAGTCCAATGTTGGTGATCTGGGCTCCCAATGATAGCCAGAGGGTCTCTGTGAAAAAACAGGAAGAAGAAATGCTCACTTCAACTGTTAATAACTGAACCAACCATGAACACATGATGCTTGTGCCGTGTTAACAACTGAAACCAACTAGGAACATCACTTAGTTTTGGATTCTTTGATATCATTTCTTAGCTTCCCAGTCTGCTCAGTACCCATCCCATATATAATCAAGTAAACTTGATTGACTGAAAATACTGTTAGGGAAATTTGAAAAAAGGAAATCACCTAATTTCCATAAACTCTTGCAGGAAGATAACTGTTGTCTCTTTTTCCTTATTTAATTTTGAGACAATTTTTTTTTTTTGCTTTCACTTCTACTTCCTTCTTTCATTCCTCCTTTCCCCCTTCGTCCTTCCATTATAAAAAAATTATTGGAGGAATAACTTAAATTATTCAACATGGTTGCTTGGAAAAGTGAAGGAGTAGAGCTGTTGTTGGTGCTTTTCTGTTTGTGAACTTTATCCCTGCTGCTCCATTTTTGTGTTCCGGAAGATGAATGGAGGTCAGGTATAGGAGGAATATGTGCCATTCAGTGGGACCAGCAAGAAAAGCAGGAGACCACGGTAAGGCAGTCCCTGGTTTACGTACAACCTGGAGTTAGGAACAAAGTCCCATGAAGCCTGTTATACTCCAGTTTTTAGTAATTACAAACCAAGTTTCTAATAGTAAATGGATGCTACTTTCTGACATGCATTTCAAAACATTATTTTTACTACTGTATCATTCTGTTAAAGGTGTTTTAGTGTATCTGGAAGTGTTTAATATTTTGCTATATACTAAGACAAAAACATTTGACTAAATGATGTTAGATATGAACCAACTGTTCCAATTTACAAACGAACTCAACTGAAAGACAAACTAAGGAATGGTACTTAATTCGTAAACCGGGAGTTGCCTTAGAGTTTAGATCATGAGAGACCCATATTAATAGCAAGTAAATTTCTGTATAACAATTAAATTCTGTAGCAAACCTACATACTTGCCACAAACTCCAAGGGAAGGAGGGGAAGACGAGCACGCTCCACTAACCACTTCCCTCCAAATCGGAGAATGGGGTGACATGGGTCTTGCAACATGGCAAATTCCGGTAGTCCTTTCTCAACTCTCTTGGCTGGTGGTGTGAGTTCAAAGAAACTTCGGTATTTCTCCCCTGAAACATATGCCAAGTACAGCTTCCTGGAGGTATTTCCTGGGACAAGTGGGATGAAAGTCTTCCCCAACCCCATCCATACCTGGCGCTGCTCTATTGACTCTGGCACAGTACCTGCCTAGCTTATTGTAATGTCTCTAAAGAATGCATGGATAAGTAAATGCCATAGACAAGAGTCATCTAAATTGATTTCTTCTTCCTCCATGAATGGTCATGAAGAGAAAAGCTTTTTATCTCAGAGAAATGTTCCCATTTCTTGTACATGGTTGTTGTTGTTAGGTGCCATCGAGACAGTATTGACTCATAGCGACCTTATGTACAATAGAATGAAGCACTGCCCGGTCCTGGGCCAACCTCACAATGTTGCCACCCTTGAGCCCATTGATGCTGCCACTTTGCCAATCCATCTCGCTGGGGGTCTTCCTCTTTTTCTCTGACCCTCCACCTTACCAAACATGATATCCTTCTCCAGTGAGTGTCCCTCCTGACAATATGTCTGAAGTATGAGCGATGAAGTGTGGCCATCTTGACCTCCAAGGAACACACTTCTTCCAACACAGATCTGTTGGTTCTTTTGGTAGCCCACCGTACTTTCAATATTCTCTTCCAACACCATAACTAACAATTCTAGTGTTAATAACTTTTTGCTGTTGTGCCATTGGACTAAATAGCTCTAAATTGTTTTTAAGGCTGGAGTTGCTAAATGCCATCGAGTTGGTTCTGACTCATAGAGACCCTGTAGAGGGTTCCCGAGGAGTGGCTGGTGGGTTTGAACCACCGCCCTTGTGGCTCAAACTGACCTAGCTGTCAAGTGCATTATCCTGCAGTGCAACACCAGGACTGTAGGGCTGGAGTTAGAGAAGTGCTAATTGGCATAGTAATAATTTACAAATGTGAATGTTGTTAAGTGCCATCGAGTCACTTCTGACTCATGGTGACCCTGTATAGAGTTTCCGAAGAGCAGCTGGTGGGCTTTGAACTATAGAATCTGTGGTTAGCTGTCTAGTGCTTATCTTACAATGTGTCTTTACAAATGTAAACACACATACATTTGTAATTAAATTCTGTAGCAAACCTACATACTTGCCACAAACTCCAAGGGAAGGAGGGGAAGACGAGCACGCTCCACTAATCACTTCCCTCCAATTTTTTCCCTTAGCCCATTATGGAAATTGATTCCATAATGGCAAAAATTCCATACCAGCAGCTGTCTTCTTTCCAGGCCCCATGGTGACTGCTGGATGCTGTGTGTGAAGAGGGGTGGGAGTCGCATCCCCCTAACCCGAGGAACCTATGTTGGTATACAGGTACCAGGCCTGCGTTGCTGGTAGGCACCTAGGTGTCAAAAAACCTGAAAGGGTCTCTCTGCAGCTTTCATGGGCCTCCTTTTATGATCTAGTTATCCTCTCTGAGGACCCTACCTTTAAAATTGCAACCATAATACTTAGAATGAGAGAAACCTTTTTGGGGGGGATGAGAAGGGCAGAAGGGGATTTAGAGTTGATCTACTCTGATCCTTTAATCTCACAATGAGAAAAGACCTGTAGAAATGAAGTTACTCATATAAGGTAGGGGTGAGGAATGTCCTAGTCCGGCCCATGGGCCATATGTTGTTTTTAAGTTCTGTTGAGTCGGTTCTGATTCTTAATCACCCCGTAAAAGGTTTCTGAGGAGTGGCTGGTGAGCTTGAACCACTAACCTTGCAGTTCAAACGGCTTTGCAGTCTGACACATTAACCCATAGCATCACACCAGGTCCTCAAAATCATTTGGTCTTGCCCTGCCATGGCAACTGCAGTTCTAGCCATCATGTTGTTGTTGTCAAGTGCTGTTGAGTCGGCTCTGACTCATGGCAACTGTGTATAGGGTTTCCAAGGAGCGGCTGGTGAGTTTGAACCACTGACCTTGTGGTTCAAACTGACTTTGCAGTCTAGCCCATTAACCCACAATGCCACACCAGGACTCCAGTCATTATACCAGGGGCGAGTTATTTAAGTGACCAAATATGTTGAGTTGTTATTGTTAATTGCCATCAAGTGGATTCCGACCCAAAGCGATCCTGTATAGGGTTTCCAAGGAGCAGCTGGTGAACTTGAATCACCGACCTTACAATTCAAACGACTTTGCAGTCTGATGCATTAGCCCACAGCGCCACACCAGGATTCCAAGTGACCAAATATAGCAGGATGATTTTGTATGGCACGTGAATAATTTTATAAATTTTGGCAGAAAAAAGATTCCCCACTCCTGATATAAGGTCTCAGTTAGAACTAAGATTAAAAAATAAATAAATAAATAATTTTTAAAATAATGCTTATCTTAACTTGGATTTGTTTCTAAGCTGCAATTCTGGCTCACTAAAGTATAAATTTTCATTATCTTAAAGGTCTAAATGAAATCCTTAAGCTCCCTTGATAGCAGTATACTACTAAAGAGGCAGGAGATGAAACACCAGATGGACTTTTGACCTGAAAAGGGATGCACCGGACCGCAAGATCTGTTTGAGCTGCAAGGTTGGCAGTTCAAACCCACCAGCTGCTCCTTGGAAACCCTATAGAGATGTTATGAGTTGGAACTGACTTGGCGGCCCATAGCAACAACAACAATGGTAAAGGGACACTATACAGAAGACAGAGATACTGAGCCTGGAGATTAGGCCCCAGTGCGTGTGGAGGAGTGCTAGACTTCCCACTCCTCCCCCAGTCCTTAGCTAGCCTAGTGCTTCTTCATCTGGGTTGGATCCCTTGGGGGAGAAACAAAGCAGGCAGATGCAGGGAGGAAGTTACCTGGGTTTTCCATGGTTTCCTCACAGGATAGCCACATGCCACTCTGGAAGGGGTGGAAGGAGAGCTGATCATCCCTAGTCTCCCAGCAGTACTGCACCATCTCCTGGGTTGATGTGTTGGTGTTGTTCCCAACCAAGGACATCGGCATGCCAAAGCACTTGGTTGCCAGATCTTTTCTGCACAGGGGCTTGGGCACCTTTGGTGTGTCCACAAACCAGTAGCTGCTGTGCAGGGATGTTGTGGAGTGGCTGAGTGACAGCATGCTGAAGATGGAAGATAGGAAGGTCCGCTGGCTGGGGAAGACCTTCGGGAACTCCATCTGTAACAGACAAGCACAAGTGCCTGGGGAGAGAGCTTGAGAACCAGAGATGTGGGCTCTAAAATATTTCCCACTCCAGCTACAGCCTTTAGCTTAGCCTAGTTGGTTCTTCACCAGGGTTAAGATCCCTTGGGAAAAAAGAAATACATATCTTTCCCTTGTTGCTGGTAAGTGCTGTTGAGTCAATTCTGATTCATAGAGACTCTTACAGGTTTCAGAGGCTTTAAGTCTTTGTGGGAGCAGAAAGCTTCATCTTTCTCCTGTGGAGCAGCTTGTGGGTTCAAAACCTTGTGGTTCACAGTTAGTGCTTATCATATGGAACCACTGAATTCCCACAACTTTCTCTAAAGTTGCATTCCTTTAACACCACAGGTTTGACCAACCTTTCTCCAAATAGCTGTGTGGCCACTGTGCTTAGGAATGGCTTGAAGCAAGAGCCATAGTGATAGTGTTTATTTAAGTGGTTCTTGTGTGGTCCCTACAGAAGACAAGCTGTTATTTGTGTTTTCCAAATAATGAGCAGGGTTGGATTGTGGGGATGATACATAGCTACACATAGACATAGGGATTACAGCAATTCACCAGATAAGACACATTACAATGAGGGATGCAGAAATCAGAATGAATCAGAAACTTTGCATTTTGGGTACAAAGTTTCTGTTTGGGATGGCGGAAACATTTTGGAAATAGATAGTAATGATGATTACTCAACACTGTGAAAGTAATTAATGCCATAGAACTGTACACTTAAAAAATGGTTAAAATGACAAATTTTGTGTTATATGAAGGTGAGTCAAAAATTATCTGCACGCGGGCTGTAGAATTTATTTTAATCAACTTTTAGAAACGAAAAATACATAAATTTCCAACATTATCTTCTTGCATTTCAATATACTTTGTCCGTCTGTCAACAAGCGTACATATTCTCTTATAAAAAATCATTTCAGGCCGAGCTGTGAAGCACACATGCATCACTGTCTTCACTTTTTCATCAGAGGTGAAACTTCATCCTTGAAGTGTTGCTTTCAGGGGACCAAACAGGCGAAAGTCCAATGGAGCAAGATCAAGACTATAGGGAGGATGCTTTAACATCTCAAAAGGAAGCTTATGCAGAGTGTCTACAGTGTGGGCAGAGGTGTGTAGACATTCATTGTCATGCAAGAGTACAATGCCCTTGGATAGCAGTCCTCTGTATTTAATCCCAAATTTAGGGTTCAGCTCTTCAGTGAGTTCTCCCTGTAATGAGCACTGTTGATTGTTGACCCCTTTCCCCGATAGTGTTCCAATACTAGCCCTTGGTAATCCCGGAAAACTGTAAGCATCAATTTTCCAGTTGATGGTTGACTTTTGAATTTTTCTTGGTTGGCGATTGAGGATGTTTCCATTCCATATTCCACTGTTTACTGTCAGGCTCATAGTGATGAATTCATGTTTCATCACCAGTAATGATTTTTTAAAAGAAACTTTTACCTTCCTTTGAGTATCGGTCCAAATTTTGTTTGCAGATGTCCAGATTTCTGTTTATGCTCTTCCTTGAGCTTTTTCGATACTCAACCTGCACAAACTTTTAGCAACCCAAGTCTGTTGTGGATTATTTCATAGGCAGGGCCCATGGATGATTTGCAAATGATCTTCCATATAATCCATGGTCACTTGTCTATTCAACAGAATCATTTCACATACATGCTTAATGGTGTCATCAGCCATGGACATAGATGAGTATTTTAATACAACCGGAGTGCAGATAATTTTTAACTTGCCCTTGTATATATTTTATCAGAATAAAGAAGAAAAATTTTTAATTTTCCATTTCTAACTCAAAGATAAGAGTCATCTGTGTGGCCACCAGACCTTACGAAAGATGTAAACCATTGCTTTGAGTTGTAGTGATGGAGGGCTGCCCTTAGTCCAGCAGGGATCGAGTAAGAAAGAAAGTGTATCACTACCAATACGTCTGTGGCCAGTCTCTTTCTATTGAGTCCCTTTTCAAGGCTCACTCAAGCCCTGACTCCTCCAGGAAGGGTCCCTAATTGGCACCTTCCATGGGAAATGAAGCTTGGAAGGGTATCAAGAAAACTTGTTTTTTGCTGTCTCCATGATGTTTTATCATATATATTTGTGATTATGTCTTATCTCCCCCCTTCAAGACTTCAAACTGCCTTTAGGTCACAAACACATCTTTTAAATTTTCCCCACAGTTGTGTCTAAGGAGCCTGTGTAGTGTAGTGGATTATGAACTGGGTTGCTAACTACAAGGACAGCAGTTTGAATCTACCTGTCTCTCCATAAAGACAAGGCTTTCTGCTCCCGTAAAGATGTCAGCCTTGGAAGCCCTGTATGGGGTTGCTATGAGTAGGAATCATCTCGAAAGCATACAACCACCACCACCACCACACCACCACCATGGTAGTGTCTGGCACGGTATTTTACACCCTAGACAGTACTCAATGAATGGCTTCAAGATGATTGCATTAAGCATCAAATAATCATGTGATTAAGTCAGACTGATTATTTTCCTGCAGCTATCTCATGCAAGATTTAGAAAAAGAATTGGAAGCATTCTAAACACTTTTTTTAGTAACCTTCATGTTTTGTCTCCATTGACTGTGACAACACTAATTTGCTGAGGTTGTTACTATAACAAAATGGGCTATCAGTTTCCCCTGTCCAGAAGTTGTTGAGAGTGATTTGAGCTGAAGGTCTCAGACCTGAGGGTAGTTTAACTGAAGGATTGCAACTGAACAGCTGCTCCTAGGTTAACTTGCCCCACTGAAGAACTTGCAGGGCTGCTTCGGGAGACAGGGAACTTGCAAGGCTTTTTCCTTGTATGACCTTCAGTTCAAGTCTGCAAAAACAACTCGCTGCCCTATCTCTGTTTCCCTAGCAACTACATTCTTCTGATAAAGTCCCACTTAACTGCTTGCATCTATTTGATGTTGTTGTTAAGTGCCATGGAGTCAGTTCCGACTCATAGCGACCCTGCACAGGGTTTCCGAGGCTGTAAATCTTTATGGGAGCAGAACGCCTCATCTTTCTCCCACCGAACCGCTGGTAGTTTCAAACTGCTGACCTTGCGGTTCACAGCCCGATTCGTAACCACTACGCTACCAGAGCTCCTTGCATCTATACAAATGTTTTTTGCACTCTTTTCCCTGCCCCCAGCACTCTCCTTTGATTTGTGTATATAATAAACTTGCTGAACCTAGGCCAGTGTCACAGTATCTCCATCAGAGTGCTGTGGACCACCTGGTCCCAACTTCACTATTTTCATTTTGTGTCTTTCTTTTTTTTTTTTTCTAATCTCCCATTGCCCCTACTATGTGGGTCACGAAGTATATCCACTTGTGGGATGCGGCAGAAGTACAGAAGGGGATGTGTCTATCAACTAATGTTCAAGGGAATCATCTCCGAGGGTGTGGATAGAAACTTTGGGATGCTGAGGATAAAAGAGGAGGGTATGTGGGAGTATTGAAATGCTGATCCTGAGAGAAGAGATGGGCTAATGGATAATGAGGCTGAGACCACTCACTGCCACAGAGATGATCTTTAGTGGAGGATGGCCACGTGATGACTGTGAAGACTGGACACCAAGTGTGGGCCATGGACTCAAGCCCTTGGTCCAGGCAGAAGAACCCTAGTGGATGAGGGATGTGTCAGTAGCTGGTGGAACAGCAATGAGTAGTAGAAATAAATAAAACTGGCTAGGTAGAATCCCTCTTGTCCCATTTTCCTGTGCTTTGTTCAACCTAAGCGATAAAGGAGGGCTATCTGAAAAAAAAAAAAAAAAATCAAGAATTGTACTTGTCCACTTTGACAAATGATGGATTGGAGCCTGATTTTAATGTGATTTGGAAAAGCGGAAATAGACATATCTTGCATTTGTTTAAGGAACAGCTTAAACTGTTATGTGATTATGCAATGAACAGGAAAGAAACCCATCCTTAGTTGCTAACAGACACTACTTAGAGTAAACCATCTTAAGCTTTCAAGGGGATCTCGTGTATTAGAATTACTCAGACTTGGTATGGCGCTGTGGAATAAGCACTGGACTGTGAACCACAAGGTCGCTGGCTCAAATCCACTAGCTACTCCTCAGAAACCCTACACAGGGTTACTATGAGTCAGAATTGACTCAACAGCACTTAATAGTAACAGCAAGTCTGCTTAGTTTAAGAGATGTAAATAAAACCATAGCTAAATGGGACAGGGCCATAGATCTGTCTCTCTCATCATCCCCAGCTTCGCATTTTATACATTTAACAGAGAACTTTATCTTAGAAATATTTTTCTTTAGAATCCCCAGGTACTAAAGCATGCAGGTGGCGCTGTAGGTCAAGCCTTGGACTGCTAACCTCAAGATCGGCGGTTCTACTAGTCTTTCTATGGAAGAAAGTTGAGACTGTCTGCTCTGGTAAAGATTTACAATTTTGTAAACCCTAGATAAGTAGGAATCTTGGTATGGCACTGTGGGTTAACGTGCTGGACTGCAAAGTTAGTTTGAATTGCAAGGTCAGTGGTTCAAGCTCACCCGCTGCTCCTAGGAAACCCTATACAGGATTGCTATGAGTCAGAACTGACTTGATGGCACTCAGCAACAACAACGTATAAGGTCACTAAGAGTTGGAATCGACTTGATGGCAGTGGATTTGGTTTTTGGGTTTAAAAGCAGTGCATACCACAAACAGTGCATACCGTTTATGGCAATAAGAAATAAACAAGGTTCATATGTATGTAAGAACATACAATAAAACAGCTTCAGGGAAGAAATCGTCTCATATGAATTTTTTTTTTTCCCCAGCAATCAAAAAATTAACTTCACCAAGAATGGTTAGTCCTTGCAAGACTCTGGTGATCTTAGCTAAGGACTCAAAAACCACAATAGTGGAAAGAAGTAAAGATCCTATATTGACAGACATAGGAGCCAGGTCAACTATGCCCCCTGTCCCTGAAAGAATGTGCTTGTCTTGGTTTTAGTTATTAAAATCCTGTTGATTTGACTC